GTAACTTTAAGGTAAGGAACATCAGTTTTGGATGTGTTTGTAAAGCGAGTGATGAAACTGATGTAGCGTGAGTTTGGGGAAACTGCACCGGGCTAGCACGAGTGTTCAACCGGTCAATACGCCCGTTAAACCTCGCTGTCTGGACTCTAACTTAAAGGTATATAGGAGGATTTTCTACTTCCGGGTGGATCATTAAGACTATTGGTCCTCCCAACTGTCAATCATTCTGGTGACACGTGCTCGTCCAATAAGACCAGAGAGTTTGGTTTGAAAAGTGGAGAGGGCGGTTCTTTCCTAAAACCTGGGAAAATCCTCCTATACACCTTTAACCAAATAATATCTGAATTAGTCATTTGACGGATAAATGTTTGCTTCCTTTACCCCTTGACTCAGTTTTATCTGCGTTTGTGGAAAATGTGAAGATACAAGCGTTGAGAGGTTTCTTTGCGATGGCAGGAGTGTGTGGCTGAAGCTAAATGTGGATGCAAACACGAGCGCGCCGTCTCATAAGAGCTTAATTCACTGAGTTTTTCACAAAGCGTAATAAAGCCAGGGCTTTATTACGCTTTGTGAAAAACTCAGTGAATTAAGCTGCTAAGCATTTTTGAAACGTGTCCCCCCCCCCACCTTCCAAACGCTTCCGACGCCGCTGTGCGGGCCGCATCCGGCATTTAGGAATCGAAAAAAGAATCAAAATACAAACGTCTTCTTAACGGTTCCGGAACCGCACTTTAGGAACCGGTTCCAAATAGGAACCGGTTCTCGGTGCCCAACCCTACCCGTGCGGCAACCAATCAGAGAGCTATGGTCACAGGGAGACAAGCCGGTCAGAGCAAGAAGATGAAAACACTTAAACAACCAAAACAAAAGCTAAACCAGAACTGAACTTGGCTTAACCTCTTAAACTCCTAAATCTGTTTTGGCTCGTGCACAAAAGTTTGGCATACCCAAATGTCTTTGCTTATTTAAAAACACGTCTTACATCTCACATGCTTGTGTGATGCATCATTTTAAAGCTAGGCCCTTCTAGTTTATGTAAATATACACTGAAATAATGTATGTCATTTCTATTTTACTCTGCATCCTTTGAAGTTTGGGAAAAAACCCTGTTTTTTTCTCCTCGCCTAAAAAATTCAATGTATAAATTACCTAAAAAAGCCTACTTCATTGGAAGAAGAAAATTTTCAACGCCAATTTGTTCATTGTGTTGTTGACAACAACTGTGTAAAGTTTCAGACTTCTAAACTTTATAGTTTTTATGCAGTTTCTCTTTTTTATCAAGTAGTGCCATTTGGAACCAATTTGGCAAAATGTGTGCCAAATTGTGCCAAACTGCTTTACTAACATTTCACCATCATTAAAAGCATATTTTTTAGTTTTGGTACTTATGAGTTACAAATCTGTGTGATTTTCTTGTACATTTTTTCAAAAAGATTTTTTTAGTAGTGTAAATGCATATAAAATATGCGCAGCAGTACTAACAGCGTCTTTACGCACGCTTTTACTGTGAAAATGAAAAGTCCCACCCATCCAAAGAAAGCCCTTTTTATTGGCTACTCAGACACGTCAATCATTCAGTGCTAGCACATTGCGCTAGCCTGTAATCAACAACAAGGCAAAAACGGACCCCTCTGCAAGTGGATACAGTTTGTCTTTTTCACAAGGGTCCTGCGGACTGAAACGTGCTCCTATCTTTTCACGGAACCTCTCTTTTTAAAGCTAAGGACTCAAGAAACACGTGGATATGATGTTTGTGGGGGTAAACAAAGCTCAAACTTGGTGAAATGTGAAAGAGAAGACTGAACATTCTTCGGAGCGGTTTTTTTTTGCAACAGAAAAATGCACATTTTTGGATTCGAAGAATGGATTATACTTTGGGAAATACAAGTGGATATTCTTTTTCACTGAAGACTTACGGAGAGAAAGAGACTAAGGATGGGGAAAGTCTAATTTGTAGGAGCAGCAGAAGACGAAAGGTAAGAAACTTATACAAACACGATTTATTTTGTGCCCATATTATGCGTTGTATCTTTTTAATCCAAAGTCTGATATCGTTTACACTTTCATATAAATATAGCTGAGAAAATAAGCTTTAAAATGATATATAGCTTGTGGTTTATGAAGTTCAAAATACATCTGCTATTGCCAGCTGAAGTATTTTTTTTCTCGTTTGCGAGCTTAAGAGGTACCAGGACTGACACTTGACAGTGCTTGTGAACATGAGCCTAAGTTCAGCCTGAGTTGTCATTCTCCCGTGACTCTAAACAAATGCTGCTAACATGTTCGCTGATGCGGAAGTACTGGTTGATAATGAAATAAACCCATGTCAAAGCTCCGTGAACACATACTGCTCTTATATGAAGTCTCTGGAAGTCTCTTGGAACACAGAGACGCTGTCGACTTGCATTCATGAAGAAGAACATTACACAAAAAGTCACTAGCGTAACCCCTTAAGCATCAAAGCCCGCCTGCCACTTTCGCCCGCCACTTCCGCCCTGTGTTTTTTGGCATTACAGCAGTACGGCATATTTTCTAAACTCATACAGCTGAAATTCAGTAGACGCAAATCTGTGCATTGACTGTCTGAACGCAGGATAATATTCAAATATTAAGGGCTGACATTCGTTTGAATGTCATTATTCAAATTATGTTTGAATATTGAATTTCGTTTTCCCAGCCCTAGACCAGAAAAACACTAGAGACATTAGAGAGACACTGCACCAAAGGGAATCGCATTATAACGGCCTCTACATAGAGAAATATAAACTCTGGTCTCTCTCTCTCTGGTTTCTTTTTGGACCAACACCAGACCAAATTGAATATTCACACTCAGCACTGTTTTTAGATCCATCCACGCTTATATCAGGAGTGTCAGACACATACTGTGCATGTAGCTCCCCCCTTCTGTCCCCTTCAGTATGTGATAAAATTCCATATTGTCTGAAGTCCATTTGAAGCTTCCACAGACCCTCCATGTTTCCGTGGTTATGTGATGACTCAGGGGCGGCACACATTCCTACATTCCTCTGTCTCAGAATCTGCTTCTGGGAAGTGAGGCTGTATACTACCAAACATCTGCTTCTCGTAAGCGCTCCATTCAACAGCGTTCACTCCAAATACACCACCGTCATGGGATTCAGATCGAAAACCAGAGCCATCCATCAGCAGTGGTGACGCATCAGCAAGGACACGGGTTTAAGACAAACGTTTCTGTTCTCAATGTACCAATGTACAAAAGTACATTTTTTCAAACAAAAGAAATGTGGCATAGAAGCAGCTGTAGTAGTAGTTGTATAGTGGTAGTAAAATTAGTAGTACTAGTAGCAGAAGTATTAGTTGTAGCAGTTGTAGTAGTAGTTGTATATAAGTGAACAGACCACAACAGGCTGTCTTCATCTTATCAGAAAACATGTTATCTTTCGTCTAAGAAAGAGCCCTGTGAGGCACTATTTGACTATTTGGGCTGAGAGCTGATTGGCTGAGTGAGGCTTGTCTTTGCACTTTAATAATAATGCTTCGGTATTTTACATTGCTTTTTTGGACACCATCAAAGATGCTTCACGTGTCATTATTCTTTCGCTCCAAATACGGTGGTGATAAACTATTACTGTAGCCAGAGCTGCCCTGCGACACACTGACAGAAGTGAGGCTACCAGTAACACCACAAATTTAAAGAGGCCAAAAACACATGCATGTGAAAACTAGTAATGGAAGCAAATTGAGCCAGGAATTTGTGACATGGGTTTTATTCTATTTCTATTCTACAGTTCTATTGTTTCTGTTTTGAAAGTTACGTACCTGTTTATGAAATATTGGTTTTAGATGCACTTAAGGAATTTTGAGAACAGTATGTATTTAATCCATTTCATGACACATACAGTATATAGGCCTGTATATGTATTGTGTTTGATTGCTGGCTCAAAGAGCCAAAAAGTCTGACTGCTCAAAACAACGGTTGTTTTGTGCTTTCGATTTTTATTAGTGTAAAAGACAAATTTGCAGCAATAGCGCCCCCTACAGACTGAGTCAAGTATTACATGGGGAGAATGACGTTTACCTTTTCAAAGACACACACAATCACTGATCATAGGCATTCAAAATGCACAGTGTCGCTCCCATCAGGGTAGTAGGAAAATGGCGCGTCAGCGCCACCTCGGTTGCGTTGTGCGGCGAGGGCCGTTCTACGCCGCTTGCGGCTGTAATTTTTATTGCTTTTGTCTACCTGAGATGTTGCTTCAGTACAGTCTGCATGGTTTTGCTCTGATCCGGGCCGGAGAGGATTCATGGTCAGAATCAAGCGGATCAGGTGAAAATCCACTGGAGGAATGTTAACTTTTTGAAAAATGCTAATGAAGCATTTTGCATTTTACTTTGGACTAGAGCAGAGAAAATGGTCCGAACCAAGCGGCTACTCCACCTTGTGACCTGTCCTGCTCCACCCAGTGGCTACATCACCTCTGCTGCTGTGACCTGAAGGGCTGTTGCTGATTATTACAATTGTTAGATTTTTGGAATGATCAATTCTATTTTTTATTTTTGCTGCTACTGGACACCTGAAGTTCTCCTACGGGGATCAATAAAGTATCTATCTTGTCCTTTCCTGGTCCCTGACTAGGCTTTTTGACAATGCCATTGTTTCTTTGTTGTCTGTTGCTTCTTCTGTCCTGTATGCATATGTTCGACTGTTTGCATATGAATACTGAGGGCTTCCCTTTGAAACTGTACTTTTCCATGACTGTGTTGGAGGTGTGTCTTTCGTTAAATAAAGTAGGTTGTGCGTGGACACGAGACCAGGGGTCGATAGTTTGGAGCTGTGATAACATGGCTACCTTCTGCTGTCTCCTCTATGGTTGTCTACCCATGTAAAATAGAAAGACAATTTCGGTCTAATCTTTGTGTGCTTTCGACCAGATGACCTGCAGTAGAAATAGTTATTACCAGTACGCCAGCTTTAAGATCATGCTGTTCAGGTGTTTACAGTGTGTATGTTTTATCAACAGGTGGTGACTCCTGCCCGCGTGGGACAGTCCTACAGCTTTGGCCAATCACAGAGTTGCGACCTGTACGACGTCCCGCCTTCCCGAGTAAGTGATCAAAGAACACATGAAAACACATCCAGAGGTGAAAGTAGTACACTTATGTGACTCAACCAAATCAAATGGACGTTACAATACAGTTGTTATTTTTGTGGGTTCTTTTTCTTACTTCTTTTGATATTGATCGGGGGAAAACTCAAACAGGGGATCAAGAATGTTATCATTTACAACATATCCTGAATGTTTTACTTTGGGGGTTGTAATTCCACTTATATACTGAAACTGGTGTTTATATTTTAATATTGTCTTTGTAAATTTAGATGAGTTTTTATTCTCTGGGAAGATCCAGCTTGCCTGAGCAACCCTCAACATGTCTACCCCTATTCCAGGGTGGAAGAAAGGCCCATCTAAGGAAATTAGCTCCAGCTAGCTTTAGTTCAAATCAGCCTTTTCCGCATTTGGCGAATGGTGATGGCACATGCACATACATACAAAACATACAATTACAAAGTAATGGTTTGAGAATAATGACCATAGACAAAACTGTTGACCTGTATTTAGAACATGAATAGATCTCATCAATATCAATACTACCAACAAAATTTAAGTCACCTATTGTATTCAATGTGTCAATGTGAAGCTGAAGTTGTGCTGTTTCTGCAGGTGTATGACGTTCCTCCAGGCCACATGCTGAGCTCTCCGTACCCAGCACAGAGCCGCTCCACTGGGAACAGTCTGTACGATGTGCCCCCCTGTCAGCTGGAGCCTCCAGTGAGAGAGGGGGTGTATGACGTCCCCCCACCAGCCCACGGGGTAAGAGGGGAGTGGAGAGGGGGCAGTACAACATTTACTCGTTTCAATGCCTAGAATGAGCCAACACTGACATCTAGTGGTTAAGCTACGAAATCACATGCCTCTCTAATTCTCATACCTAAAAATTACATTTCACTGGAGAATGACACTAAACTTTGGGGGCAACATTTTTGCATCATTGAAGTTTCAGAATGTGAAATTATATCTTCAGTAGACAATATATGAAGAAAGAACTTGAATACTTTTGCGTAACAAATGGCAGTCTAGTATCACTGCGCCTTCTCCTCATTTTTAATTTAAGTGTTCTGGACATGTGGAGGTGTTCAGTGTCAAACACCATAATCACAAGCCGCATGGCTTGTGCAATGTGCATGTCCCAGGCTTCTACCACAGGCAAGCTGTGCAAGATAAGAGAAACTTTTATTGATCTCACAATGGAGAAATTTACAGTGTAGGGTACATAAGGTTCAGCAGGCATTGGAGAAAACAGCAGTTGCCGACAGTGCTGATTTACTGGACGTCAATCAGTCACAACTATCTCCAGGTCACAGCCCAAGTAAAGGGAACAGGGGAAAATGTGTGATTAATTGTGAGATAACTATGACATTAATAGATACTTTATTGATCCCCGTCAGAGAAATTCAGGTGTCCAGAAGCAGCAAAAATAAAAATAAATTGATAATTCTAAAAAGCTAACAGTAGTAATAATCAGCAACAGCCCTTCAGGTCACAGCAGCAGAGGTGGAGTAGCCTCTGGGTGGAGCAGGACGGGTCACAAGGTGGAGTCGCCACTTGGTTCGGACCATTTTCTCTGCTCTAGTCCAAAGTAAAATGCCTAATGCTTCATTGGCATTTTTCAAACAGTTAGCATTCCTCCAGTGGATTTTTGGCTGATACACTTGGTTTGGACCATGAATCCTCTCTGCTCTGGTCTGGACCAGTGTAGAACCATGAACACGGCAGCAACATCTCAGGCAGAAAAAAAGCAAGAAAAATAAAAATTGTTAAGCACAAAACAACAACTGTTATCAAGCTACTTAGGACTTGCAGCCGTTTCCCAGTGCATCTTTCAAACCGAAAGTTAATGCGATTTAATTCAATATTTTCAATTTTGACAGCACTAATTTAATAACAACTCCAGGTCTGTGTCTGATAAGGAACAATGTTGGAGAACGTCATAGTCTGGGGTTCCATTATAGTTTTACAAGTTTGAAAACAGAGCATATATCAAGAGGCGAGACTCTTGATATTGGCGTGGATAGAGCTAAACACAACTCCAGATCTATTTTTGTATTGGGAATGGTGGTGTTCAGTGTGTGATCAGTGTTAGCATTATGTAGTAAAACAATTCTTTCCGTGACACAATCATTAAAAGCACCAAAAAAAGAACATGTTTATCCAAGTATTTTTGTTTAATTTTAATCACCCAGCCTCCTGCAAGTTCAACTTTGTTTTAGTCAAAACAAGGAAGTGGTCATTACGGGATCATCGCGGATCTCCGGTATCTCAAGTCACACACAATGATCAAATGTCAAAGACATTTTCACAAAAGTTCTTGCGGTGGACTTAAATGAGGGCTTTTCCTGCCAAAGTCTCAAAGAACGCATAAAAACACATCTAGAGGTGAAAGTAGTACACTTATATGACTTAACCAAAACAAATGGTACAATACAGTCGTTATTATTGGGTTCTTTTTCTTACACTATGGCTTCAAATCCTCTGATTCAGTTCAGATTCAGTTTATTTGCCATTTGCAGTAAAAAAAAAAAAAAACACATTGGAATACATTAGCAAAAAGTCTCCAGTGTGCACAGACAAATACAGACATAAAACAACATTAAAAGACAGAAATAAAACAAATAAAACAGTAAACAAATGTCACTGTGAAATTGATCGACTAAAACAGTTTCAAAACAAGTGCAAATCATTAAAGTGCTCTGTTCACACTGATAACAGCTTGTGGATAAAAATTGTTAGCGTAACGAGATGTCCTGCATCTCTGAGAGCGATATCTTCTGCCAGAGGGAAGAAGCTGGAACATGGCTTTTCCAGGGTGGCCAGAAGAGTCATTGACAATCCTAAGACCTCCAGAACAGGAAGCTCACAGCACACGGTCCTCTTTGCAGAGCGGAGCACCTTGTTTAAAGCTCTCTTTTCTTTATCTGTGATGTAAACTCTCAAAGGTGCAGCAATAAAAGTTAAGCAGAATCTTGGAGTTAGTCGTAAATTCTCTAAGTTTACGCAGAAAGTAGAGACGCTGACGAGCTTTCTTAACGACTCGGTCAATTTTTCTTTTTTCGTTAGACAGAGTTAAACCCAGAAACTTGCACTCCTCTACGATCTGCACCTGGGAGTTGTCGATTACGACAGGCAAATGAGAACTATTGCGACTGAAGTCGTAGACCAGTTCACATGTTTTTGATGCGTTCAACTGGAGGTTGTTAGTTTTACTCCACTGAACCACATTTTGTATCTCTGCTCTATAAGAGGATTCATCATTGTTACTGATGAGACTCTTAATGAAGTCCAGCACAAGCCGCTTTTCATAAGAACAGACGTGAGGGCCACAGGACGATAGTCATTCAGGCATGTCACAGGAGTTTTCTTAGGAACTGGAATGATGGTCGACTCTTTAAAGCAGTTCGGCACAGTACAGTTCCTTAGCGACAGGTTGAAAATGTCTGTTAGCACAGGGGCAAGTTGCTCAGAGCACAGTTTCAGGACACGAGGAGGGATGCCGTCCGGGCCTGGGGCTTTCCGGACTATGGTCCTGGACAAGACACGCCTGACTTCCTCTTGAGTCACGGTGAAGGCAACTTGATTGAAACAATCAGGGAATACAGTAGGACAGGCATCAGCGGATTCAAAGCGACAGTAGAACGTGTTCAGCTCGTTTGGCAGAGCTTGGCCGACAGATGCAATTTTTCCAGCACTAGGTTTCCACGATGTGATGGCTTTAATACCGTTCCACATGCGCCGAGGGTCATCTTTTCAATGAGTAACAGGATAGCTTATAAGCAACTGTATCATTTGATTGAAACGCCAACGCACGCTCATGAAGTTTCAGTTTCACTTCCGCGTTCATCCAAGGGTTTTGACTAAAATGTTCTTTAATGACCTTCTGTGGGACACAGCAGTCAATACAGAAGCGTATGTATCCTGACACAGCGTCACAGAATTCATTGACGTCCTCTGACTGAAACACAGACCAGTCCGTAGCATCAAAACAACCTTGTAGCTTCATGCTAGCCTCCTCAGACCAACACTGCACAGTGCGAGAGGTTGGTTTATGTTCCCTGCTCCTCTGAGTATACGAAGGAAGAAGGAGAACAGAGGAGTGGTCAGACTTTCCAAAAGGAGGTTTGAGACTGGACCTGTAAGCTCCCTTCACGTTACTGTAGCAGTGATCCAGAACATGTGCTCCTCTTGTAGCTCGAGTCACATGTTGGTAAAAGTTTGGGAGTACAGTCTTTAAATTACATTTATTGAAATCCCCAGCAACAATGATGACTGCGTTAGGATGAGCAGACTCATGTTTGTGAAGGATCTCGCTCAGATCCTGTAGGGCTACTTTGTAATCCGCACGTGGGTGAATGTAAACAGCACATAAAAATATCACTGAAAACTCACGGGGAAGATAAAAAGGGCGGCAGCTCAAGACCAGGTATTCCAGATTGGCAGTACATGTTTGGTTCACGATACGAGTGTCCGTGCACCAGCGCTGATTAATTAAAAAGCAGACACCTCCGCCTCTGGCCTTGCCCGTGGTCTCCTTCACTCTGTCCGCGCGGTGAACGGTGAATCCCGGGGGCTGAACAGCAGAGTCCGGGACGTTCGAGTGGAGCCACGTCTCGCTGAGGCAGAACACAGCGCAGTCCCGGGCCTCGCGCTGGCTCTGGACCCGACACAGGAGCTCGTCCGTCTTGTTGGGCAGAGACAGGACGTTGGCCAGGTAGATGGAGGGCAGAGCGGTCCTGTAGGAGCGTCTTCCCCGGTGTCTGCGCCTCCTTCGCCGACTCGAGGTGCCCAACTCCACACCGCGGAGAGAACGCCGGAGACGCCCTGTGAGGCGGCTACCGCCGCGGCCCGCCTGCCGTGCTCCATGGGCCTCTCAAGTGGGACACTCGAGGAAGTTTGTGCACCTCAGTTCGGGTAGTACGAGTGACCCGTCACACGCAAGCGCCTCTCGGTCATACTTCACAGTGGCAAGTGACTCAAAGACAAACGGGAACAAAACACAGATTGTGCACACTAGAGCTCTCACTGCGGCGCCATGACACGGCACCATCTTGCTCAGTCAGCTGATCACAGCTTTTGATATTGATATCTTTTGATATTGCTATGGGGAAAACTGAAGCAGGGAATCAAGAATGTTATTTACAACATATCCTGAAGGGTTTACATTGGGGGTTGTAATTCCACTGATATTAGTGATGAATGTCTCTTATGGCAAATCACCTGAACACAGACAAGGTTTCAAGTTCCTAAAAAAGCCTTTATATAGATGGACAAAAGAACGGCAAAAAAACCCCAATAGGGAAGTGTTCATGAACAAAGTTTTGCTCCAACTAGCTTTTTATTTAACATTTAAAAGTCAACTCCGCTCTGTGATCCTGTTGTTTATATTGTGATATTGTCTTTGTAAATTTAGGTATGAGCCTTTGGCATCTGATTGGATTAACCAATCAAGTGCCTTCATTCGCGGGGAAACTCCAGCTTGCTTTAGCCACCCTAAATATGTCTACCCCTATTCCAGCGTGGAAGAAATGCCCATCTAAGGAAATTAGCTCCAGTTAGCTTTTGTTCAAATCGGCCTCTTCTGCATTTGATGAACTGGAGAGCAGGGGCCCGAGTAAAGAATGGGGAATAGTTACTTTACTTCATGTTATTCCTGAATTTAAAGCTGAGGTGCGTAACTTTCTTACTCAAAATATCTGATTTAAAGATGTGACAGAGGCCAAAAACACATGCAGATGGATAGAACAATCTGGATTGTATTACACTATGCTATTGGTGTGTTCTGAATGTTGAATGCTTTCTTCATTGAGAAAGACATGGATTTTAAACAGTGAGAGACCTTAGAGAGAGATCAGAGAGCGACCCCACAGAGACCAAAAACAGAGGTCACAGAAAGAGGCTGAAGAGAGAGAACAGAGATTAGAGAGGCATTATTGTGTTACGTGCCCCAGCTTTAACCCTCACAGAAATGCTTGATTACTGATTCTAAATCTCATGTGTGGTGTTTCGCGTCCACAGGTCTACGCTGCGCCTTCTTGCAGAACTGCCTCCAACCACCAGGATGTCAACTACGACTTCCCGCAACCACTGAAGTGTGCACGTGCGGAAGGTATCTACGACGTGCCGCCTGCAGCTCTTACCAAACCCACGCAGATTTCCTCCCTGTGCGCGTACGATCAACCCCCCGCCACCACAGGCTCTGCGCACTCCCAACACTCACCGGCCAACAACAACAATCATGGCATCTATGACGTGCCACCTCCCGCTCTGCCCAGTGGTGGATCCGCAGACATTTACGACGTCCCCAGGGGCAGCGCCGCGGCCCGCAGCTCCCCAATTGACAGCAGAGGAATATACAACGTCCCGGTTGATGTCAGCGACGGCGTGAACAGACTGTCCTTCTCCAGCACTGGGAGCACGCGAAGCAGTATGTCAACGTCATCGTCCTCCACCGGGTCCACAGAGGGGAGACTAGGGCTGGACCTGGACAGCGCTCTACAAAAACTGCACCGCCTGCAGCAGAGCGTGGAGGTGGCCGCGGGGAGTCTTCATGCCACCGCAGCGTCCCCGCACTGGCGGACGTACACGTTCATGGAGCGACACAGCAACGAGGTGCGGGTGGTCATGGACAGAGTGAGAGCGGCCGTCGCAGACTTTGTGGTGTTTGGAAGAGGTGCTGCAGTGAATGCGGCCGCGCTGTCCGACTGCGGCCTGCACAGTAAGCTCCGCCGGCAGCTGGCGCGGCTGGAGGACTCACAGCAGATCCTGATCCAGATTTATCAGGTTCTAGACAACAGTAGATGGGCGATCCACACGCTTGTGGCACAGAATTTGGGGCGCCATAACAAAACGGACGACGTGGACCGCTTCGTGATGGTGGCCAGGACGGTGCCGGACGATGCAAAGCAGCTAGCGTCCACGATAAGCAGCAACGCAGAGCTGCTGTTCCGGAGGTCGCACACAGAGGGGGGGAGCGTGCAGGAGACGCACCCCGCTTTGAGCTCCCCTCCCACGGACAATGAGAGCTTCGGGAAGCCCTTCACCCACACCGGTCTGCAGGACAAAGACAACATGAACCACAGTGAGAAGTGCGTTAAGAGCTGGATGGAGGACTACGACTACGTCCACCTACAGGTGAACACTGATAATAAAAACAGAACACACTTATCTCCGGCAGTGTTTCTCAAATTGGGTCTGCCCAGAACCCCACAAATGCAGTCGCAACCCACTAATGATAAATTAAAGATAAGTTATAGAAAATGTTGCAAGAATTTACATTTGCATGTTTCAACATGTAAATGTAGAAAGATATCCTCACAGGTGAAACAGACGCATGTTTAAGAGTTAAGAGTAAAGAAGTTCTGCTTCATCACCTCATGTTTGGACTTAAAATTAATATAAATAGTACACACATACTAATACATTACTGAACACAATAACATGTTTTTTCTAATATCCTGCTTTGAAAACATTTGTCAAACAGCAATATATCCCCCTGCACGAGCTGAGTGCATTCGCACAGTCCACTGTGAGGGAGCGAGCAATTTGGGGTGAGGCACGGAGGAGTGCTGCCTTACCTCATCTCTTCTAAAAGGAAAAATTGGTTTTCAGCAATTTTGACTACAGAAATGAGCAAACCGTGCCTGAAAATAAATTAAAAGCCTAGGACAGTGGAAAACAATTACATATTACAACTAAAATATTATTTCTTTCAATTATTATTATTATTATTTATTATTAAAAATAATAAATAATAATCTGTCGAAGAGATTCTTATGAATGTCCAGCTGAAGCAGCGTCTTCAGTTCAGTGACATGAAGATGTTTTGTGTTTCAGGGCAAAGAGGAGTTTGAGCGGCAGCAAAGAGTTCTGCTGGAGAAGGAGAACATTGTGAAACAGAACCAGGAGCAGCTGAGACCAGAGCAGGTGAGGACCGCCACCTCACAACTCTACTACTCTACTCTACTCTACTCTACCGGATTGTGTCTCCATTACGCTTTAGTATCTGGACCTTATCCTTGCAACAAACCAGAATCCAGGGAAATTCCTATACAGTCATGGCTCTCAGCAGCACTTTGACCAATCACTGTCAGTTAAAACACTTTAGTACCAGCTGGGTAGAGTATGGCGGGTGGAAACATGGCGCATAATGTCATGCATTTCTTGTCTCCCGCAGATAAATCAGTTCAAGCGTCTGGAGCAGGAGGTGAGCAAACCTGTGGAGAATGACATCTCCACGTGGATCTCGCAACAGCAGCGTATCGACCCTGCGGCCGAGCCTCAGCCCACGCCCTCGGGCCTGCAGCCGGCCCAGCCCAACCCTCGTGACCGCCAACTGCTGCGCTTCTACTCAGAGCAGTGCGGGCAGCACTTCTCCACATTGCTGGATGCGCTGGACGCCTTCTTCTGCTGCGTCAGCGCGGGCCAGCCTCCGCGCATCTTTGTGGCGCACAGCAAGTTTGTGATCCTGAGTGCGCACAAGCTGGTGTTTATTGGGGACACGCTCTCCCGCCAGGTGGCTGCGCCCGAGCTGGCCAACCGTGTGATGAACGCCAGCAATGTGCTTTGCGACCTATTGAAGACTGTGGTGGCGGCCACAAAGGCGGCCGCACTGAGCTACCCAAGCACCGCGGGCGTGCAGGAGATGGTGGATCGCGTCACGGAGCTGTCACAGCACTCTCAGTGCTTCAAGGAGCAGCTGCTGCACTTGGCAGAGCCTTGAGCCGCACGGGCTGTTGCAGGCTCGGGCTTGAACTTGATCCTGGACCTTCACTGGGGTTTCTTGTTTTAAACCTCGAGATGACGAAGTGTGTCTAATAGCGGTGATGGCGCTCAGTGTGCAGACGGACAAACTCAGGCCCTGTCCACACGAAGTCAAGCTCAGGCCTAAACGCAAAAATACTTTATCAATCCAGTGTATCGTCCATACGAGGCCGGCGTTTTGGGGGGGTGTAAACGAACATTTTTGAAAGTAGGTCCCAGAGTGGAAAGATTTCAAAACTCCGTATATGCCGCTCCGTGGTTACTGCCTCTCCGCAATGTATCTGAGACGCTTGCGTCATCGCCCCGCCTCTTGTTAAAGCACGCATGCGCCGCACTCAGAAAATAACGACAACAACAATGTAGCTTGTTGGTTTTGTAATCCAGTGTGACCCGAAGCAACAGTTCAACCTCATCGTCCGTCCATACTAATGTAGTACCAGCTCGCCCACTCGCCATGTTGTCTGTTTACAAAATTCCGCGGATGCCCACGGAAGTTTGGGCTTGATCCCGTCATTGCGTCACAGCGCCACCAACAGGTCTGGCATAGTTTCACAGCGTTTTCAGGCGTATTGACTACATTCATATGGACGCACACATTTACTGAGCTAACTCCGTGTTTACAGAAAAAGTTTCTGAAATTATAAGCGTTTTGTCTTCGTGTGGATATAGCCTCAGACAGCTAAGCTTTCAGACAAAGCATTGCCTCCACAATTCGCTCCTGCATCAATGTGACATCATAAATCTGCTTTTTTTAGCTGATGTAACTTAAGCTGGAGACGTGATTGTAAACTCACAATTAACTGCTTTTACCCTAATGTGTTGAGTGTATCCCAGTTACAAGTAATAATCTACTGGAATCAGCTTACTTTTTTGAATCACTGAGTAGTGTAACACAATACAATAATGAAATTACTGTTACTATTTATATACTATATGTATCAGTTACCTGGGGAATGATCTCTCCATGTGGACACCCCATGGATGTGTTTAAACAACTGAACAGGGCCGGGCGGTGGTGGTACAGTACGTGGTACTGCGGTGGTGGACAGCAGTACTGCAGACTAAACTCATCAGAGCGACCCAGGAAATGTTCCCACAGATCTGTGTTAACGGCTCATCCTGCGCTGACAGAGAACTACAGCTTTCACAAAGGTTGTGATCAGTGGATTTTAGTTTCTCTTAACTAGAGTAACTTACCCAGCGCTGTCTACACTGTCCCTAAGGGTTTTGTTTAATTTATTTTTTTCAAATCACCATGTCAACATTTTTGTGAATACTTGAAAGAAGATTCACTGTTGACTTAAAGCTGGGGTACCTAATTTTGTACATATTGTTTTGTAAAATGTTGTGAAAAAAATCAAACCACAACATGCTGTCTTCATCTTATAATTTTTTTTTTATACAGGTCCTTCTAAAAAAAATTGCATATTGTGATAAAGTTCATTATTTTCTGTAATGTACTGATAAACATTAGACTTTCATATATTTTAGATTCATTACACACAACTGAAGTTCAAGCCTTTACGGTTTTAATATTGATGAATTTGGTAAAAAAAAGTGAAGAAAAACCAAAACTCCCCATCTCTGAAAATTAGCATATAATGAAACTCTAAACGAGCCATTAACCTAATCATCTGAACCGACAAATTAACTCTAAACACTTGCAGAAGATTCCTGAGGCTTTTTAAAACTCCCGGCCTGGTTTATTACTCAAAACTGCAATCATGGGTAAGACTGCTGACCTGACTGCTGTCCAGAAGGCCATTGACACCATCAAGCAAGAGGGTAAGACACAGAAAGACATTTCTGAGCGAATAGGCTGTTCCCAGAGTACTGTATCAAGGCACCTCAGTGGGAAGGAAAGTGTGGCAGAAAACGCTGCACAACCCCAAGAGGTGACCGGACCTTGAGGAGGATGGTGGAGACGGGCCGATTCCAGACCTTGGGGGACTTGCGGAAGCAGTGGACTGAGTCTGGAGCAGAAACATACACAGCCATTGTGCACAGGCGTGTGCAGGAAATGGGCTATAGAAACCACAACCAGAAACAGCGGCACAAGTGCCTGACCTGGGCTCCAGAGAAGCAGCACTGGACTGTTGCTCAATGGTCAAAAGTACTTTTTTCGGATAAAATCAAGGTGCCAGAGTGTGGTGGAAGACTGGGGAGAAGGAAATGCCAAAATGCCTGAAGTCCAGTGTCAAGTACCCACAGTCAGTGATGGTCTGGGGTGTCATGTCAGCTGCTGGTGGTGGTCCAATGTGTTTTATCAAGGGCAGGGTCTGACCGGCTTCTTCCCCTGCCAGCGGATCCAAGTCACGACCAGGTGATGATCGGTTGACAGCTCCGACCTCCGGCCTAGGGTGTCCTGGTGCCACGTGCACTGTTGCAAACGTTTGTGCTCGAACATGGTGTTCGTGATGGACAAACTGTGACTGGCACAGAAGTCCAACAATTGAACACCGCTCGGGTTCAGATCAGGGGACCGTTCTTTCCGATCACCCCTCTCCAAGTGTCACTGGCGTTTCCCACATGGGCGTTGAAGTCCCCCAGGAGAATAACGGAGTCTCCGGGTAGTGCACCGTCCAGTACCCCTCCCAAGGACTCCAAGAAGGCCGGGTACTCTGCACTGCTGTTCGGCCCGTAGGCCGTCACAACAACGAGAGACTTGTCCCCCACCCGGAGGCGGAGGGACGCGACCCTCTCATTCACCGGGGAGAACTCCAACACGTGGCGGCTGAGATGGGGGGCAATGAGAATGGCTACCCCAACTCGCCGCCTCTCCCCGCGGCAAACACCAGAAAAGTGGAGCGTCCAACCCCTCTCAAGGAGTTGGGTTCCAGAGCCCAAGCTGTGTGTGGAGGTGAGGCCGAGTATCTCTAGTCGGTATCGCTCAACCTCCCCCACGAGCTCGGGCTCCTTCCCCCCGCAGTGAGGGGACGTTCCACGTCCCAAAAGCCAGATGTTGTGTGTGCGGACTGGGTCGCCGAGGTCTCCGCCTTTGACTGCTGCCCAGTCCTCTCAGCACCGCGCACAGTTGTGTGCAATGAATCTAAAATATATGAAAGTCTGTTTATCAGTACATTACAGAAAATAATGAAGTTTATCTCAATATGCTAATTTTTTTAGAAGGACCTGTATATATCTTTTATGTTAGAAAGAGCCCTGTGAGTCACTTTTTGACTCTTTGGGCTACGAGCTGATTGACTGACTGAAGGTGGTCCTCTCTTTTTTACTTTTCTGTTTGAAAAAGCTGATGTGATAGAGGCCACAACCACATGCATGTGAATACTAGTGATAGAAGTAAACTGTTTTTATTTTTATTTTTACGTTGGGGTTTAAAAATTATGAAGCCCAGCTTTAAATACTGCATCATTATTTTATCATCATTTTATTCTAATTTTTAACTTATTAACATTTTAAAACCGTGGCATTTACTCCTAGTAAAATTATTGGAAGTCTACATAGGAACGCTGTGCAAACGTGGTGTGAACCTGTTCTGCAGTGGTCTCTTGTTTCCTTCTGACCTTGTTCATGTCGCCATGATCACTTCTGTACATACATCTGTTTTGTATATTTTGGCTCCTTTTCGTTTTATTTTTGATGCTTTGGATTCCTACTTTCCAGGTTTGAAGCACCTAACATCTAAGTTTGTTTTGGGTTATTATGTTGTATTTATGTCATTTTTGAACATATTTTCTCGAGTAAAGACATGTCCTTATAAACTGGAATCTGCGGTGTTTGTTGCCTTTTAAAATTATGTATGACAGGTTTAGCATAATTATTTTGAAGACTTTACCAGTTTTTTGCACATTTCATCCGTGCTGGATCCATAGAGCGTACATTAGGATTTGATTGACCGAATGTGACATCACCACAGTATTAGCCTTAATGCAGAAGAAGCAGAGTTGAACATAAGCTGAAGCCAATTAGCTTTGCGCTGTCACAGGTGCAGACGTGTTGCTAAGATGGTTGCTTAGGCAAGCTGGTGTTACCCCCGCAAATGGCCAATTCTTATATATAGTTACTTAGCTGATCCCCTTAGGAGAAATTCAGGTGTCCAGTAGCAGCAAAAACACATCCATCCACACAAACAAAACAAATAAATGGATTATTCTTAAAAGCTAACAATAATGATAAAATGCAACAGCATTCAGGTCACAGCAGCAGGGGTGGTGTGGCCACTGGGTGGATATATATGGTTCATATCTGGATTTACAAAGACAATATCACAATATAAACACCAGGATCACAGAGAGCGCTAAACCATGGATTTTTTTATGCCCAAAATGGTGAGACTAATGGTCTGAGGGGCATTCAGGATGGGTCAAATGCAAAGGACACATATTCCCATGGCAATAAAAAAGCAGTGTTCCCCAACCTCTTCAATCACTTGACACACCACCAGCTGAATTTGATACAGAACTGAATCTTGGCAGCCTTTATTCAAATCAAACAAGTGCCAAATTGTCTGTCTAATCTTCAAAATTGGGGATATTGGATTTTTTACACAGGCAAACGTATGTGCCACGGTCCACTTGTTGAAAAACTCTTCACTTCTATGGAAACACAAGACATGACATTGCTCTAAACATGTTACAACCATAAAAACACCACAAAATGCATTTGAATGATTTATTCATTAATTGTTTGGCACCCAGGCTCCGGTAGCGGCACTTGGTCTGTGAAGCACCTGATTATGCGCGCTTTCGACCCCCCGGGACCTAGGTACTGGTGGTGGCGTCCAGGCAAGCAGTGAATTAGAGAGCGCCCGCTCAAAAAAGAGGAGGAGGAGGGGAGGCGGTGGTTGCAAGGCTTGAGAAGCTGTGGTGTGAGAGTTTCCGCTTTTAAGCTGCTGGCTTGGCAGGTATAGGTTGCAAGGAATAGGCTTTGCTGTGCGATAGGCCGAGGATGAGATGGGATAAAACAGGTAGCCTTCCAAAGATTGAATTTCAGCGGGCT